CGCGCTGGAATCAACGGATTACTTTTGCCCATTGATTGACAAGTCTTTCTTGAGACCTCAGAACTTAGCACTCGTTCCCCCCGGATTGTACACACATAGTCTCTGAGATATGCAGGCTTCCGGGAGATCCTTTCCAAGCATCTCCTCTGAAGTTGCCGACTCCTCAGCAGGCCCCTCTAGAGGTCCCTCCCTTGTTGTCAGGCATAGGTCAACAGGTAAGGGCTCCTACGACAAAGATATGGGAAAGGTAGAAGCGTTGAAACTGAATTGGTAGCAGGCTGGTCAGACGTTGTTTTCTTCTGATTGCGGAGGCAAGGACGAACAATTTTGTGATGGGGTAGTATCATGTTGAATTATCTGTTGATGGCAGCGCCAAAGTTGATCTATGTGGCGTCGCCATTGCCGACCATCATCTAACTGGACCCTATAAGAACACGGGCCAGTTATTTGAATTACCTGACCCGGTACCCATTTAGGATCACCTATGCAATTTCTTGCACATACTCTTTCTCCCAACTTAAAAATACTCTGGAGCAGCATTTGCATGATAATGAGGATGTAATCTGTCTAAAATGGTGCGAAGACGCCATCCCATTAATAACTCAGCTGGACTTTTATCAGTTGATGGGCAAGGTGTTGAATGTTGTGCTAATAAATACTGATTTATTTTCTGTTCCCAAGGACCTGAACCTAAACGTTGCAAAGCATCTTTAGCGGAATGGACTGCCTGTTCCGCTCTACCATTGCTGGCCAGGTGATAAGGTGCTATCAATGCATGTCTTATTCCTAGCCCTGCTAAAAAAGCTTGGAATGGCTTGAGGGCCATTATCGGATACTAAGGTGTCCGCTAGTCCGCGCGTGGAAAATAGTTCTTGTAATTCTTTAATAGTGGCCTTCGATGTAGTTGTATTCATGGATGCAATTTCCACCCACCTTGAAAATGCATCTACCACAACTAAAAAGGTATGCCCCTTTACTGGCCCAACAAAATCTATATGAATTCTTGCCCACGGAGATTGTGGTAATTCCCAAACTCGAGGATGAGCAGCTGCTGGATTAGGGCATGATGCTTGACAAGGAGAGCATTTGGTCACCCAATTTGTTATTCCTGCATCCAAGTTGGGCTACCAGACATAGCTACGGCCTAATGCTTTCATTCTAGCTATGCCAGGATGACCTTCATGTAGGCGTTGTAAAATTTGTACCCTTAAATTTTGGGGAACTACTATCTGTTCCCCCATAAAAGACAACCTTTTACTATTGACAGTTCCAGGCGTCTCTTCCAAAACAGCAAAAACTGTTCTGACCGCTCTCCTCGAGGCCAACCCCTACTGACCCATTCAATGACTTGAGATAAAATAGGATCAGTTTTAGAATGGCCTGCTATATCAGAAGCAGAGAGTGGGATCTTGAGCCTTCTGAGGCAACGGACATCTACTTAAAGCATCAGCATGGTCTATATTCCAGCTGGTAACTGTATGCTGCAAGGAATTCAGTCCATCGAGACATACGAGGTGAAAAAATTGTAGGAGTTGGCTTATCTCCTGCAATTATGCCAAGCAACGGTTTATGGTCGATTTGTAATGTGAAAGAATGACCATGTAGATAGTGGTGGAACCTTTTGATTCCAGCCACCGCTGCCAGCGCTTCTTTGTCCAACTGGCTGTAATTTCTTTCTGCCTTGGACAATGAACGTGAGAAATACGCTATTGGAGCCTCACTGCCATTTGGACACCGATGACTGAGTACAGCCCCTATGCCATACGGAGAAGCATCTACAGCTAATATTAGAGGTAGTGCTTCATTGTATTGAATGAGGACAGAAGATGACGTCAGGAGTGATTTGATAGCTGTAAACACTTGTTCCTCACAACTGCCCCATTTCCAGTTTGCTGACGCGTATAACAGTCTATGTAAAGGTTCCGCTACAGAAGCCTTATGGGGTAAAAACATAGCATAAAAATTTAATAAACGCAAAAAAGCTTGTAACTCCATCTTATTATTTGGAGCTGGAGCTTTCTTAATAGCTTCTATTTTTGAAGGGGCTGGATGAATACCTCGGGCGTCAATATGAAACCCGAGGAAATTTACCGCCTCCACACCAATATGACGCTTATTTTTTTTTTATTTCAGACCTGCCTCCCAGAAATGGAGGAAAAGTGTTCTAAGTTTATTGAGTAGCTCCCCCTGACTGTGCTGCGATGAGCACATCGTCAAAATATGGTAACACTCCAGGTAACCCATGGAGCAGCTGTTCTATAATGCTCTGGAAAATGCCGGGAGCCACGCAGAGTCCAAATTGGAATCTACGGCAACAGAATGCTCCCTGATATGTGATGATCATTTGGGCATCTGCCATCGCATCATCTACTGATAATTGTTGATAAGCTTGAGCTAGGTCAAGCTTAGCAAAAAGGTGTCCACGACCTAACGAGTGCAATAGGTGTTGCACTACAGGTACTAGATAGGGATGAGTTTGCAATCCTTTATTAATTGTGGTTTTATAGTCCGCGCAGATCCTTATGGATTCGTCTGATTTAATTGGTATTACGATAGGAGTCTCCCACTTCGCATAATCAACTGGTTCTAATATTCCTTGCCTAATTAAATTATCTAGCTCTACATCCACCTTTTCTTGCAGTGCAAAAGGGACTCGCCTAGCTTTAAGTCTAATGGGTGCTACATTGGGGTCTAAATTAAAAGAAACTGGTGTTCCATTATATTTACCCAATTCATTGCTAAAAACGTCCTTGAACTCCCGTGTCAGGTCTTCAAAACCGGCAGCAATTTCTGTAGAGTGAATTCCTGAAATAGAGAATCCCAATGCCTCGAACCAATCTAAACCCAATAATGAAGCCAGTGGCCCCTCTACAACTATTAACGGTAGAGAGCCCTTAAATTTGCCATGCTCAACTTGAAATTGCCCGCTACCCATAATTGGAATAGCCCTTTTTTGGTAATCTTTTATAATGCAGCTAGTTGGATCTAATTCTGCTCTAGAAATTGTGGGCAGGATTCTTTTGAGGCTGCCGCAGGAGATAATGGATCTCACTGACCCCATGTCGATCTCCATTTTACAAGGAGACCCCTCAATTAAAACAGTGGTAAACATCTTCTGGCAGCTGCCTTTTGCTTCAGAGGCTATGTTGACAGTTCCTTCTTCCTCGCTGTCCCGGTCGACGGCGTTGCAGGTCTCCTTAGCGCGGGCTGATCATCTTTGCGCCGCTCTATTCACAGGATGACCAACATCTGTGGCAGGCAGGATGGCACGGCAGACATAGGCTAAATTACCCGTCTTCCCACAATGCCGGTAGATGGCTGATTTAAACTGGCAATTAGACCACAGATGGTTCCCTTCACAACTCAGGCAACTTGCCTGAGAAGCATTCGTGGCTGGCTTCCATCTGCCATCCGCTGCTAACTTGATACATGCTACTTCGTCAATTGTTTGCTGTTCCTTTGTTTCCTCAGCAGATTGCTGATTAACAATGGCTTGCTGAGGATGGCATGTGGGAAGCTTGACATTTTTGAATTACAGCAGCGGACTGGGCTGCCTGTTCAGCTGCTCGAGCTTCATCTAAAGCAATAGCTAAGGTTAGCTCCATTTTAGTTAGCAGGCGGCGCTGAAGCCTTAAATCCCTGCTGCCATAAATCAGTTGTTCCAGTAACATGGCTTGCCTGAGAGCTACCATTAATTGACTAATAGTCTCATTTTCTTTTTTGAACACACCGGTGAAATGCGAAACGTCTAGCAAAACGGGATGGCACCAGTGCATAGTGTCCTTTTAGCTTGGCCACTACAACTTCCCAAGGCACTGTATGCACGGAGGCAGGGCCATTGAGAACATCTCTGGGCCACATAAACTCAAAAAATAATCTCTCTTTCTTTCTGTGGTTATCCCCGTCAAATCATGGGCAATAAGGAAACATTTGAACCACTGAATAAACGCCTCCCACGACTCTCTGTCGGGCATAAAAGCGGCAAATGGAGGTATAGCCGTCATGCTGCGAATCATTATCAGACGGTATCTTTGTACTAGCGGTTACTCTTGGGATCCCAGCCTCGTCGCCAGTGAAAAGTATTCTCCTGAAGAAACCTCAGGACACAATGTAAGGATAACCTTTTATTAACGTAGCTGACAACGAACAAAGTAACAAACTTAACTGACAACCTTTTATATATGCGAGCTGTCAAACTGTTAACCAATAGGAAGATTGCCCGACTTCTGCGAGACTGCATCCGCGCCAGAGTCAACGGATTACTTTTGCCCATTGATTGACAAGTCTTTCTCGAGACCTCAGGACTTAGCACAGAGGATGGTAGAGGAAAGGAAGGCCTGGAGGAATGTTGTCCATGGGGTCGTGATGGGTTGGACATGATTTTGCAGCTAACAACAACAACAACAAAGTAAATCCCTTTTAAAATACAAGTCCTCGACTTATGACCACAATTGAACCCAAAATGTCTATTGTTAAGCAAGACATTTGTTAAATGAGTTTTGCCCCATTTTACAATCTTTCTTGTCAAAGGTAAGTCAGTCACTGCAGTTGTTAAAATAGTAACAAAGTTGTTAAGTGAATCTAGCTATCCCCATTGACTTTGCTTGTCAGAAAGTCACAAAAGGTGAATACCTGACCCCAGGACACTGCAACCATCATAAATATGAGTCAGCTGCCAAGCATCCAAATTTTGATTACATGAGTATGGGGATGCTGCGACTGTCATAAGTGTGAAAAACAGTCAATAGTTGTGGCATTGACAAAATCACCATCAGTCAAAAGGCAGCTTTACTTGGAGCAGCTTAAATCCTGTGACGGTACCTTTGATATTATTAAACAATGACATCCACTATCCCAGATCCCAGGGAAGGACTGGGGTGGGGGGTGGGTGCCAAATCCAGTCTAAATATCTGGCTGAACGAGCAACCAACCATAATAATAATGTTGGGGAGTAAAAGGACATTTGTGGAAAATACTCACTGGGCTTTAAATTCCTATAGGGAAGTTGTGGCTGAGACGTTGCTTGAAGATGGCTTTCTCATTCCAACTGCTGACACTGTGCAGATCTTAAATATTCCTCAAGGTTGGTATGTCAAGTTGCTTTTTTTCCTTGGTCAAACAAGCAAAGTTCTCCAACCATTGGCTGTTCAAAATCTGTGCAGATTACCTGCACTGGATCCTGGCAATCGATTTAATTGTCTGTGCAGTATGGCCATTCCAAACACTCAAAGCGATTATTAGGACTGGTTTGTTAAGATAAAAACCAAAGCTATGAAACTTCAAATTGGTAGGATTTTCAGCGCTAAAAAGAGATTTTGAATGATTTTCTAAAGGTTTTAATTTTAATTTAATCATCTGAAACTACCAAACACTCTTTACCATAAGCCAGATCAGCAGGACTCTAATAGTTCAGAAAAGTTTCTCCTGCAGGTTTAAACTTTTGGGCAATTTGGAAGAGAGAACAACGAGGCTTTGCGCTGGCTGGCTAGGCAGTGAGCAGGTCAGGTGGTGCTGGCTGGCTGGTTGGGGAGGGGGCAATCATGGCTGCTTAGGTGGCTGCCACCACCAGCAGCTTCAATGCCCAGACTGAAGCTGGAATTCACCGCGCCGGGGGAGAAATGAGAAGCCCTGCTGTCCTGCAGAGCCCACTGATGCTTGAGTGGGGCAGACAGGGAAAAAAAGGCTGCTCAGATGGCTCCTGCCCATCCCAACCCCGCTGCCACTGCCAGCAGTTTGAATGCCCCAACTGAAGGAGAGATCGCTTGCTCTCTCATTCAGGCACAGAAACAGAGTTTGGAGAGAGCCCCCCTTCTGTCTTGCTGTGGCAGCAATTGCGCCACTTGCCGATGCCTGGAAGCAGTCAGGATCTGGATGGGGATGAACAAACTGGTGCTCAATCCCGATAAGACCGAGTGGCTTTGGATGTTACCCCCGAAGGACAGTTCAGACAGTCCGTCCTTGATCCTGGGGGGTGAAGACTTACACCCCTCAGAGAGGGCTCGCAATTTGGGGGGCTTCCCCGATTCACAGCTGACACTGGAACACCATCTGTCGGCTGTGACCAGGGGGGGAGCTTTGCCCAGGTTCACCTGGTACACCAATTGCAGCCCTACTTGGACCAGGGGGCACTTCAATGGTCACTCACGCCCTTGTCACCTCAAGGCTG